CAGCGCCTCCAGGGCAGGGGGCAGCAACGACGGGCGACGCTGAATCTGATCAAACCCAGTGCCAATGGTCAACCTGGAACTCCCGATAGCTTTCACGAGCACGGCCACGGCGGGCCGCGGGGGAGGAGCCCCGAGCTCAGGCCACTGGAGAGGGGGGTGTTGCGCATCAACCGGCCACCACTTCTTGCCGCCCGGTCTCAAGGACTGCGATCGACTCGATCGAGGTGCATGGCCGAAAAGTCCCTTGATGAACAACGTCGGGCTGCCACGGGACTGGGAGGCTCGACAACTTGTACGAGGCAGACGTGCCCCCCATCGTGTGAGAGCCCACCCATTTTTCCATTCCTTCTCTTAGGCCTGAGCACAGACCGCGCGCGCCCTCTTGGCCTCGCTGTCGGCCATCTCAGTCAGGCAGGCGGCACTCAATGAAAGGGGGGGCGAACGTGCCTCAGCGTCGCCGACCGCGCGGCGTAGTCGGCCGTGTCGGGCAGCCGATGGAAACGAGAAAGACGGCCAGCAGCTGCGACAAGCTGTGACCTGAACGGGCCCGTCGGCACACGGCCGATGTCAACCAGCAACTTGCTCACCTTGCGCTACCAACAGGCGAGAGGAGATAACTTAGGGAACCTCGGAGGAGCTGGCTTGGAGGGGGTTTTCCACGGGACGCGGAGAGGTTCATCCCTGCCCATATAGCCAGCACACAGGCCCCCAGAAACCAGAAAGACATAGAGCCAATGTGCCTCAGCGGCCCTCAGAGAGGCACCCCACTCGTCCTGGGCCAGGAGGTCGGGGCCGCCGCGAACGTGTCCAACGTGCCCCCGCGGATCGGCCTGGGGGGGGGGGGGGGGTTGGGCGAAGACAACCAATGGGGATCTGGGTGGGGGACTTCTTAGGCACCTGCACATTCTTTACAAAGCGGCTCGACCGACGGAAAGACCAGCCTGACAGGAAGGTTCCCGGGGAAGACGGGAACATCGTGCAACGCTTCGGCCCTGGCCTGACCTGCAATGTGGCGCGAGACCGCGAACATGTCGATGCACCTCAATGCTGGCCTGCACGCGCCACGCTCAGGTGCGATCACTACTGCGCCCCTGGCATCAAGCCAGAACGTCTTCAGCAAGTCCTCAGCCGCGAAGTTCCAATCGCCACCGACGGTGAAGCGCAGCCCAGCGGTCTTCAACCTAGCACCCACTTTGGACAAGATGGACCAATTCTGCTCATTGACGCCGACCGGGTGAACGAGGTACAGGTTGACAATCACGAAGCCGCCTTTGATCATGCCACCGACATGATGCATGGACGCACGAGCAGGAACAATTTCCACGCATAAAAATGAGCAAGAGGTGCAAAACCGACCCTCTTGACCGCAGCCGCAACTAAGCCCCCCTGTGGATTGCCCAGCGCAAGAATCGCAGCGCACGTAGGAGGCAGACCAACCAGCCGTGCGCATCTTGGCCTCAAACGACGTGGAAGCCGTCTTCAGCAACCGAGACTCCTGCAACAGCAGCACATCACTGTACATGGACTGGGACAAATACGCATCCAAGCCCATCTGCCCATCGACATTGGCCGCGAGGATGGACCACTCCTTCTTGCGCTGTCGGCTAGGAGCACTGCTGAGCAACGGGCGCAGGGTCGAAGGGCGTGAGCTTACACGTCTTACTGGCAGCATCATTGAGACCACCGATGATAGTGTCACACTGCTTCCGTGCGAGCCCACGCACCGAGAGAAACTTATCCCAACCTTCATCAGTGGTGAAATGCTGCAACAAGCTCGGGGATGTACTGGCAACGTGCGCACCGCCCTCCGCCCCGTGCGACGCCCGCTCCGCCCGTCCCCAGCCGCCCCCCACCCCCCCCACTAGGGTCCAGCGTGACAGGCGCTGCCCCTTCCACGAAGGGGGAAGCGCGCGTGGGGGCAGCAGGGCGTTCACCTTCTCCAAAGATGGCGTGCGCTGCTGCCTCGGCAGAGAGGACAGGCTCAGGCTCAGGGGCGTCGACCATCTGGACCTCGTCCTCATCGTCGCTTGCCTCATCATCACTGGGTTCACCGCCAGCTAGCTGAAGAAGACCATCGCGCGTAGCCATGAGCGCGCGCAGCGACTCCGCCAGCTTCGGCGACAGGAACTCGAACTGCATGGGCAATGCAAAGCCAGGATCATCGGTACTGACCGAAGCGACAGCACCACCAGCACGAGGACGTCATTCAACAGGCAGCTGACTGACCGCCGCCCACGCCGCCGCCTTGATACCTGCAGCACGCTCTTGAGAGTGTAGCTGGTCGAGCTTGGTTCCGGCAGCCACCAACTCCAATAGTTTCCTATGAACATCCTTCTCGAGCTTGGTGGCCTCAGCCTCCGCCTGCACCAACTGACGCTTGAGCTCGTCATGAGCCCACTGACTAGGCTTCGCAACCGCCTTGGGGTCATCCGCTGCCAGCGCACGCTGCGCCGACACGCGAGCACGCTGAGTTGGGCCAAAGAAGAGACTTACTAGCCTCGGAGTCAGCACTGGGCATCTTAACAAAAAGTCGCCAACTGAGGCTCGTCGAGCAGCTTGAGCTTGGCCTTCGCCATCTTGGGAGGCCCGTTGGCCCAGCCCCCCTGTGGAGCACGGGCAGGAGGAGAAGCAGGAACCACAGGACGCTCAGCACCACACTTATAGCAGTGCGTTTCCCACGCGAAGTTCGTCTTGAAACCACATTTCTTCTTGGGACAGCACCAGACATCGCCGCGACCGAGACTGCCCATGGAACGAGAACGAGCGAGGAGCGCCACCGCGCATGAGGGATAACCTCAATACGGTGATGGGACTCCTGGAGATGAAGAACACCTGTAGGGCGACTAAATCCCTTTGCCAAAAACTCGCGTCCGCTTGGGCAATGCCTCCAGACTTGAGCCAAAATGGCTACGGATCCTCCTCCTCCTCCCTGTCCTCCTGCTCCTCCTCTCTCCTCCTCCTCCTCCTCCTCGCCCTCCTCGCCCTCCTTCTCCTCCTCCTCCTCCTCCTCCTCCTCGCCGTCCTCCTCCTCATCGCCCTCCTCCTCCTCCTCCTCCTCCCCCTCCTCCTCCTCCTCCTCCGCCTCCTTCTCCTCCTCCTCCTCCTCGACCTCCTCCTCCTCCTCCTCCTCCTCGACCTCCTCCTCTCTCCTCCTCCTCCTCCTCCTCTTCTTCCTCTCACCCCTCTTCCTCCTCCTCCTCCTCCTCCTCTCCTCCCCTCCTCCTCCTCCCTCCTCCCCTCTCCTCCTCCTCCTCTCCTCCCTCCTCCTCCTCCTCCTCCTCCTCCTCCTCCACCTCCCGCTCCCCTCCTCCTCCTCCTCCTCCTCCTCCTCCTCCTCCTCCTCTTTTTCCTCCTGCTCCTGCTCCTGCTCATGCTCCTGCTCCTGCTCCTGTTCCTCCTCATCATCATCGTCATCAGCAGCATCAATATCATCATCAGCAGTAGCAGCATCAGCATCAGCATCAGCAGCATCCTCCTCCGCAGCATCATCATCATCATCATCATCAGCATCACCATCCTCATAACCATCATCATCACCATCAGCATCAACATCAGCATCGTCATCATCTAATCAAAAGCAACAGCCTCATTACCAGCATCGCCATCACCATCATCATAATCATCGTCGTCATAATCATCGTCATCGTCATCATCATCATCATCATCATCATCATCATCATCATCATCATCATCATCATCATCATCATCATCATCATCATCAGCATCAGCATCATCATCATCATCATCATCATCATCATCATCATCATCAGCATCAGCATCAGCATCATCAGCATCGTCATCATCAGCATGGTCATCAAAAGCTCGGGGATCTTCTGACCCGTGTCAGTCCAAACCCGGGTCAGTCAGGCCTTGCAGACTCCTGCAAGATCCTGCACCCAAAACCGGGGTCAACGCGAAAGATCCTGCAGGATCCTGCGCCCAAACCCGGGTCAATGCGGCCCTGGCCCTGCCGGATCCTGCAAGATCGGGCGCTCTGGCTGACCCCCGTTTGCGTTGACCCCCGTCTCCTGAGCCCCGTCTAGAGAGGCACCATCAGGTCTGGGGAGATCTCATGGCCCACGCCATGAGATCCCCCCCCCCCTGGTCCTCACCCCCATCTTGGCCGCCCCCGACTGAAGCCTAGGATCCAGCGGGGCGCCACACTCGACGAGCGCGTTCGACTACTCGCAAAGTAACGGCTCGCAAATGGCCTGGATCCCCCGCCAGGGATCTGCGATAGATTACGTCAAAGCGGACAGGTTCTTTTTTCTGGACGTTTGCGAGTAGGCACATTGCGAGTGGTGGAACGCGCTCGGTTACAGAATCCAGTGGGGCGCCACACTCGGCGGCTCCAAAGGGTGTGGTTTGCAGAGGGTGCGGTTTGCAACTGGCACCCTTCGGGGATGGACAGACCCCCCTTTAGTAAAACGTGGTTTAGTGAAAACGACCTGAGGCCCAAACCTGGCGGGCGCGAGCCTGGATAATTACGGCCACGGTGCCCTCTCGAGAACCGAAATCGGACAATTCACTAATCGACGTGTCACTGTTGGGGGTTCTGTCCACTCCCGAACCCTGGGGGGCTCCCTGGAGGGCAGGCGGGGGCCTCGATGGAGCTCTCCGCCGCGCCCCGCAGAGGCCCGACGAGGACGGCGTCGGGCCCCCACGGGCCCCCACGGCGCTGATCGCAAACCACACCCCGGCGTAACCGCACCCCTTGGTCTTATGTCGGGCGTGTCCCCCTACAGGAGGATTTTCGACGAAAGATTAAAAATACCCTCAAAATGCCCCAAAAAGGTCAAAAAATACCCCCCAAATAGTCCCCTGACTATGTTTGAACTACTTTTTGGCTATTTTTTGGGTATTTTTCATTGTTCGTCGACAGTCCCCCTGCAGGGGGACAGGCCCGACTTAATCGTAGTCGCCGCCACACGGCCAGAGGCCGCCCTCGGCGGCCTGCCGGAGGGCGCGGCGGCGCGGCGCCGCCGCCGAGAGGAGGGGCCTCAGGAGCGCGCGCCCGCGGCTCCGTGCGGGGTCCTGGCCGCCGCGGCCAGCGAGCGCGAGGAGCGGCCCAGGCGCGGCGGCAGGGGCGACGGGGGCCTGCGGAGGGGGCCCAGGGGGAGGAGGAGGAGGAGGGTACTGAGGGTACTGATGACGCGGGGTGGGTCTACACCCCCTGGCACGCAGGCCAAAAACAGGAGGCTAGCCTATGCTATCCTCCTCATCCCAATCAGCCGGATCGACTTCCCGACGGCGCTGGTCACTCTCCCAAGCAACAAGCGCCTCTGGAGCAGCGAAACCGTGCAATCTAGCAATCTGTTGGGGTGACAAGGTTGGAAGCTCAACACACAACACAAACACAATCAAAACACACAAAAAAACAAAAAACAAAACAACAAACACAGCACACATCAAAAACCAAAAAAAAAGCTCAACAACAAAAAAGCTCCCCAAAAAACCAACAAAAAAAACCACAAAACACCAAACAGCTCACAAAACTCAGCACAACAAAATCAACAAACGAACAACAACAAAACAAAAAAAAAAAAAAACCCCCACACAAAAACTCAAAAAACAAGGCGTCGTGCATGTCGGGAGTGGCACCTCCGTGGCCGCAACTGGCGCCTCTACAGCAACACTGTTTAGACCAACGTCCCCACCAGCACCACCCCCACCAGGCTCAAAGCCAAACAAAGGACCCCAAACAGCCTTCATATCATCTGTCGGCCCGAACGGAGTGCCCACAGTGGCCTTCCCCAGGTTGTGACCTGGGAACAAACCACGCTTTAAACGCGACCTCTGGGTCTTATACCCCGTATGGCCTGATCCCTTGCAGTTTGCTTGAAGGCCTCCCCGCGCACTCTGATGCGCCGAGGCCCCACAGCACTTACAAAAAATTAAATCGTCGAGAGCTTCCCCATCTTCAGCCTGGACCGTGGCCTGGACGATGGAGTGGTTTCTAAGCACCCAGGGAACCCCAGATACACGGAGGAAGTCCCTGGGTGCAGGATGAGGCGGAGGAGGCGGGGGCGGAGCGGGGGAGGACCCCGAAGCTCCCGCGGTGCCGGTGGATGTCCGCAGTGCCGGCGATGCCCTCCGAATCGGGCTGCTCCAAGGCACCGAAAGCAGCCTGGGCTCGGCCATGCCACATAGCACAGTCTCTCACAATCCGCTTGCAACCTGAAACGAACAAAGGCCACTGCTCTGGGATTCCCCACAGCAAGGCCCCTTTCTTAGCATATTTGTCGGCCATCCTGTTTCCACGAACAATCCACACGTCATGATCGGTTAAAGCGGCCGACTCTGATGGACGCCGGCCATCCTGGGTGGACGCCGGCGTGTCGCGCATCTGCTGGCAGACCCGCGGCGACTCTGATGTGTGGGCTTTCACTTTATGAACTTGGGCCTGACGGACAATGCCGGACCACCATTCCCTCCAGAGGTGCTGCCTGGGGTTGTCATGGCTCAAAGTTTCACCGGCGTCGGTGGCACACCCGACGGCCCCGAGGCAATCGCAGAATACCTCTAGGGGATTCTCGGGGTCCCACTCCGAAAAACGACTGAGCATGAGAAACGCGTAGTCCTCGCCATCTCTAGCTACTTGGTGCGGGGCGCTAGCTAGGGGTACCACCCCATACATGGCTCCTATGAGCTGCCCTGCCGGGTCTACCGCAACGACCGCCCATCCAGCCCTACTCAGGCCGGCGTGAGCGGTGTTAAAAGCGCTTCCATCGACGAAGACCTTCCCCGAAAATTTCCACCCAGGGAAAACCCCGACAAAGCGCAACCAGTTTTCCTCGGGAGCTTCGTCGCGGGGAAAACAACACCTGGGCGATGGCCACAGGCAGCGACAAAACAATTCACCAAATAATTCACTCAGATCCTGGACATAGCTGGCAGCTTGCTTGACGTGTTCAGGGCAATCTTCGCGCCGGACGGCGCTAAGCCTTGGACAATCATAAAATCGATGGTAGGAGCGCCTTCCCGTGGTCATGCAGCCTGGCTTGGGGCCAATGGCTGCCTCCCACCAGCGATCGAATGGCAGAACACATGTGGGCTGTCCATCCCGCCGAATAGGATCTGTTCAACACGGCGGACACGGGCGCCCAGGGAAGAGGCGAAACCCAGGCACCTTCCAGGCGCCTGAGCGCTGCAACATCGGACGCCGCCATGGCAGCGTCGCGGACGAAATTCATGAAGAATCCAAGTGAATACTGCGGGATATCAGAATCTCCCCAAAATGGGTCCCTATAAACTGTGGCCGCAGGCAGTGTCGCGCCGACCCTGGCCAAGGAAAGCAATGCAGCCTGGGCGGGATCCACCACCTGGGACCAAGGCCGGGCCCGACCAAGGATAGCCTGACCGGCCTCCAAACAAGTTTCCAAGGGCCCGCGCCCAGGGAGAGGGGAAACGACCGACAGGGTCCAGTGCTTTATAACCTCTACGGCGTGGACCACCCTTGGGTCCCTAGATGCACCTCTAGGCGTCGCTCGCAGCCGAAGGGCCGCCGACGTCCCAGGAGGCACGCGGCCCTCCGCACGAAGGGCCGCGACTCGTAGAGAATGCAATTTGTGATCGCCTAGGCCAGTGACAGCAGATCCCCAAACCGCCGTCGCCGTAGGAGAACCCCGCATTATCGTGCTGACACTGGCCCCGGCTTGTCTGAGATGGACTACACGGGCGGAGACAGACTTGGCCTTAGCAAGCCTTTTATCTTGCTCCTGCACGCTGCGGCTGGCACCGCTGCTGGCGTCTGTCCCAAGACAGCGACCGGCATGCAATTTCTGAGCAGCATCTAGATCCCAGCGTTTCGCCAGGTCTGGATCAACATCGGGAGCGCTGGTCATATATCCAGTCTTATCCCAATTGACTTTGAGTTTCTTGTGTTCGAGGCCGGCCACTAAATCCATCATGGCCGATGGAAACTGCCCCACAATCTGCGCTCGACCACCGATCGCCTGAGGAAGAAAATCATCAACAAGGTTCTGGAACCTGACCTGCGGGTACTTCCGCTGGAGCTTTTTGATCAGTGTGTGCACAAGCAGCTTCGCCAATGCGAGCGCGTTGCTACAGCCTGCTGCTACCGCACCGTTGGCAACTAAAGGCTCTGAGATAATCGCCCCCCATACGGCTCTACGTGGGAGGCGATACCCAGCGCACAGACACTCCAGCAAACGAATGGGGAACCCCGTGAGCAGGGCCTCCTGGAAAAGATCTGCATGCGAAATGTGCTCATAATATTTCGATAAATCAAGCAGTCCGCTGACTGCAGTGAAACCTTTAAGCCTAGCAAATCGTTGCACTAAGTTGCGGACGTGGCCCGCGCGATCGCAGGTGAGGCCAGTCGAGCCCCAAAAAGCCGAGCTGTCCAATGAAAGCTCCCACCTGCGTGCAATAGGCTGCCGGAGCCTGGGCCAGACCCTCCCCCAGATTGACGAGAGAACGATGGGGCGGACTCCCCCGGCAGGGGCAGGCTTCCCAAGGAAAATGACAAGGAGAGTCCACAGGTCCAATGCTTCGGGGTCCTGCTCCCACCTAAGCAAGATGTCAATCAATGCCTGCTTATACAGACCCGGCAACCATAAAATCTGCCTGGGATGCAATCGATCCCAACCGAATCCCGTGGAGGCGGGATAAGAAGTTAGCACTCTGTCGAATCCTCGACGGTGATTTCTGGCAAATCTTCCCAGGGGCCCAAGGCACTAACAAGACCGAGGCCTTCGGAGACATCGGCCCGCGGCTCCAAACCAGCCAAAACCGAGGAAACCAAATCAGGGCCCCAGTCCCGCGGGTGCTGCTCACCGTCGCGTCTGGGATTATTCCAGAGAGGCCCCCACTCCTCTAGCAAAATGTCCACTGCCTGCTGCCCCACAGCCGGCATCGCAGGGACATCGTCGCCCCCTGGCACGGAGATCTGGGTGGCTGGGGTCGGTTCCCTAACGAAGGCGTAAGCAGCCCCTCTCCCTTCTCCGCGGCAGCGGCCTGGGCCCATGCCCTCCAGGCAGCGCTCCTGGCCTGCCGATCCGCTGCCTGAAGGCCGTTGACGTGATCCCTCACCCCCTCCAGAAACTCCAACGCACCCCGCCCTCCGCCCCGGAGCAGACAGATAAGGTCAGAGATGGAGGAGGAGGCCCACGGCAGAAGTGGACCTTCCAATGGCCAAGAGATACAAAAGCGGGCAACAGTTTTGCACTGGCGCTCGAGGGCGGCCAGTCTTGGACAGCCCTGCTCCCTAGCATTGTGTGCGAGGCAATGGAGGCGCATGCACGCTGACAGAAAAGACGTCCAAGTGCGAAACTCCAGGGACGATCCCTGGCGAATGTCTTGCTTCCAAGCCGTCTCCAACGGCTGGCGCGCTACTTGGAACCCCTTGCTTCTACCTTGCCAGCTCGACTGACACCACGGTTGGATGTCATGGAACTGTATAAGAAATGATTCAACGTGATCCAGCCAGGCCTCACAAGCAGGCCCCAACTCAGAAGGCAACTCTGTACCGATCTGCCACGGCCACTCCCATGGCTCCGATTCCACTGGGGCGGGCCGGACTGGCAGCGGTTTCTCCGTGGGGAACTTTTTCGGGTAGATCGCTCTAGGAAACTTGGCCTGCCTGTGCAAGCCTTGGAAACGAAAGGCAACAGGACAGTGCGTCCGCGAAGGCGCCGCCTCTACCATCGCCACCTCCGCGACGAAGGGGGCGATCACGTTGCTGCAGATGGCGAAATCCAGCTCCCGGCTTCCGCACGTGGGCTCCCCCGAGCAGAGGACTCGTCCTTGCGCCTTCTTCGACCATGAATCCAACTCTGGCGGAGTCAGGTTCCAATCGCCTGCTATCAGCCAAGGGCCCTGCAAAGACCCCACATACTGCATCAGGGACTCCAGGAAATCGAGGTTCTCCCCCATGAACCCGATGCTGGTGGTGAGGTACACCGATATCACGTAGAACGGGACGTTGAGGCCAATGTTCAACATCATAGCGGATACCCGATGCCCCGGAAAGGTCGCAGAAGTCATAGGCGAGCACGGTGAAGCCGTAATTCTCGACAAAATCGCGCATCCCCCGCTGGACTCTGTGAGTCCCGCTCCAGTGGACTCTGCCAGATGGAAGCTGTGGTAGAACCCCCTGTCCGATGACCATTTGTGAGCTTGGTTGACCTTGCCAGCCTCCTTGAGCCGATGCTCCTGTAGACAAAGTACATCTGGGAAACGCAACTCGGCATCATGCCGTGCCCACTCCAGCATTGATTGCGCCGATGCCCACGTGCTGGAGTTGAAAGACCAAACCGTGAAAGACGAAGTACAATCATTACCCACGCTTGGGTTTCTTGGTAACCGACTGGATTCCATCAAGAAGTCGCTTGACAGCTGATGGGTCGGAGACGTCCACGCCTGCTGTCTTGAGATGCTCTTGGAGGTCGGGATCTTGGGCGTCCAATCCCATGGTATCGTCTGCAGGCGCTCCGCCAGCAGATGCTGGCTGAGCGCCGTCTGCAGCAGCGGCCCCAGCAGAGGAGGAGGAGGAGGAGGAGGA